TATTCTGATCACTTGGAATGATAATCTTTGCATATATTGGGTTAAATAAAATCTATTATTGGAAAAAATTTTAATGTAAAAGTTAAAAATATATGAAAGATGCTTAACCTCACCAGTAATTAGGGAAATGCTATAAAAAAATAAGGAGTTATCATCTTGGGGAGAATTTCATTAAATTGTAAATTTAAGAGTGTAGGGGTGCCTGGGTGGTGCGGTCAGGTAAGCCTCTAATGCTGGGTTTCTCAGGTGATCTCAGGGTCCTGAGATGAAGCTCCATGTCAGGCTCCACACTCAGCCCTTAGAGTCTGCTTGGGAATCTCTCTCCCTGTCCTTCTGCCCCTCCCACTCATGCTCTCTCTCTCTCTCCCACTCTCAAATAAATAAATTAAATCTTTTTTAAAAAAAGAACAACAACAACGAATAGTAATAGTAGTAGAAGTAGTAGCACCAGTAGTAAAGAGGAGAGGTGCCTAGGTGGTACAGTCAGTTAAGTGTCTGACTCTTGGTTTCCGCTCAGGTCATGATCTGGGGATTGTGAGATTAAGCCCTGCATCAGACTGCATCAGACCATTAAGACTCTGCGCTCAGCACAGAGTCTGCTTGAGATTATCTCTCCCTCTTCCTCTGCCCCTCCCGCTCATGCTCTCTCTCCTCTCTCTCCCTCTCTCTAAAATAAATGAATAAATATTTAAATTTTTAAAAAGAAGAGGGGGGGTGCCTGGGTGGCTCAGTTGTTAAGAGTCTGCCTTCAGCTCAGGTCATGATCCCAGGGTCCTGGGATCAAGCCCCACATTGGGCTCCCAGCTCAGTGGGAAGCCTGCTACTCCCTCCCCCACTCCTCCTGCTTGTGGTCTCTCTCTCACTCTGTTCTCCCTCTGTGTCAAATAAATAAATAAAATATTTTAAAAATAAATAAAACATTAAAATTAAAAAAAGAAGTGTAAAAAGGAAACAAGCAGATGTATGCTCACAGCAGCATCTGGGCAATAGCCCAGATGATCGGCTGACAACAAAATGGATAAATAAAGTCTGGCCTATTAGTACGATGAACTAGTATTCATCTGTGAACATAACTGAATTACAGCTTCATGTATCAACATGAATGAATCTTCAAATTAGTGGTAAGTTTAAAAGCAGACTATAGAAGGGGCACCTGGCTAGCTCAATTGGAAGACCAAGCAAGTCTCGATCTCAGGGTCATGAGTTTAAGCCCCACATTTGAATATAGGGAATATAACTAATTTAATTAGTTAATTAATTAACTAATTTAAAAAAAACAAGCTAGAGAATATAGAGAATATCATGAATATAAAGTTCAAAACATGCCAAACCAAGCACTATATCACTTGTCTATGTAAGATAAGTAGAATAAAGAACAAAGAAATAAACACAAAATTCAAGACAGTGATCACTTCTGTGGAGGAAGCAGAGCATTATGAACTAGGAAGGAGGACCCCAGGGGCTTCAGAAAGATCGGTAATGTTCTATTTCTTAAGCTGGGTGTTCAGTGCACAGCTGTCCATTTTATTGCTTTGCTTTGTTTAAAACTTCCCATATACTCAAGCCTTCTTTCTGGCTCTCAGTAAAGCAATGGACTTTTCCTCATGTAAATCCTGCAGAAATAGCATTTGTAGACCAAAAAATTGGCAAATATTAAAGATACTGGGGCACCTGGCTAGCTCAATTGGTTAAGCGTCTCCCTTCAGCTCAGGTCACGATCCTGGGGTCCTGGGATTTAGCTCCTCATCGAGCTCCCTGCTCAGCGGGGAGCCTACTTCTCCCTCTCACTCTCCCCCTCCTCTCTGCTCGTGCTCTCTCTCACAAAATAAATAAATAAGATCTTTTAAAAAAAATAATAAAGATACCGATAAGGTCCAGGATTGGTCTCATGTATTGTTAGAGTGTAAGTTCATACAAGGATCTTGGGAAGTTAATTTGGCAATATTAATAAAAAGTATTTGCATATTTCATAAACCTTTTGACCCTGTAATTCCACTTTTAGGAAGATGCCGTATGAAAATCCCAAAGATACATGTATAAAACTGTTGACAGCAGTACTGTTTACAATAGTTACAAACTGGGAACAGCAGAACTACCTTCCAGTAGGTGCAGGTATGGTATCATCCACACTGCGGCATATTATACTGCTGGTAAATAAACTTTTATTTATTTAACAGAAAATGATCTCCAAGAAAGCAGGAAAAAAGCAAGGCACTAAGTCATAAAAAAAATGACTTCCTATTTAAGTACATATATATATACACACACATATATGTTCATAGTAATTGCCAATTCCTATATATAACAAATACTATGTGCTGAGCCCTACTGGGCTCTGTGCTAAGTGCTTTAAATACATTAACTCATTTAATACTCATAATATTATATGGCAAATGTTATTATCAACATGCTTATTTTATAGAGGAGAAAACCAAAGCCCAGACGTTAAGTATCTTGCCCCAGGCCATATAACTAGCAAAGGTCAGAGGCAGGATTCAAACCCAGGTCCTGTGGCTCTAGAATCTGTGTTCCCAGCCACCATGCCACAGGGCATTTCTAGAATGTAAGCAAATGGGAAAGGCACTGAATGTATACACATTAAACAAGAGGAGGACAAAGGAGTAAAGGGAATTTCAGTCCATGCTTCTACAGTATTTTAAACTTGAGGAACAGAAAATGTGTTTGTGCGGCACTGGTCTAGTGCAACACATAAATTAAGAGAAGGCAAGAAAAAGTGCTGGAGCTGGAGGTGGGGTCTGAGTCAAACCGACACCTATTAACCCTTGAGCAATCACTTTATCTCTCAGGGCCTTTTTCTATCTGCAAAATGGTAGTGATAATAGTACCTTGCATACATTTAAGGCAGGACAGGTAGAGATGATAGGATAGCGTGAAAGTGCTTGGCAAACCATAAATCACTTCACAAAGGCGAGACAGCATTACTTTCCCAAGGAGCTCTAGGAAGACACAGGGAGGAAGGTAGGTGAGCCAAATTGTCTAAATGAAGCATGTGAACAAATCTAGGGTTCTCTGCCACCTCAGCCTCCAGAACCAGAGAATCCAGTCTGCAAGGCCATGAACCTCAACCTACACTCCAGCCCAGAGCTAAGGAGGGAAACCCAGGCCCATCTCTGCTTGGTGCCATTAGCTATTTTCTGGAGCTGGACTCATCTCAGGGCTAGGAGAAGGTTCCAGGGACCTTTAGGAATACCCCAAAATGTCTAGCAGGAAAGTCCCACTGGAGACTCCTCCCTGAAAGGCAAGATAAGAAGTAGAACCTTCTCTAGGGAAAAAGTAGCAGCTAATCACAAGGTAAGCAGCCTCTAACCTCATAAACATTCTTGGGGAGAAGCCCAGCCACCTCCAAATTACAGGCAGCCTCCGCTTCTGTTCAAACAAATCTCCAGCTGTGAATCACTCCTGAGAGCGGGGAGGGAATAAACACATAGCTGAGGGGTTAGAGATCAAGACGCTGTGGACAAATGATAGGGAGATAAAGAGGGAGGCCCCAGAGGTTCTCACACCCTGGGCTCACGTGATAGGGGACAGATCTATGGGAAATTATGTTTCCCTTGCTCGCACTCCCCAGACTGCTATGGGGACCGTGAGCATGGGCGGCAGGTGAGGATCGAGGCTCTTTCTAGGAGGTAAGGGCAGTAGAGATAGTCCCTGAGCTGGAAACCAGCATCCTTAATTATTCACTCTGTAACTCATTCCTCCAATCACCCTGTCTCTCAGTCCTATCCCCTCTCCTGCCCAAAACGTACGTGGTCTCTCAAACAGCTGCGACGGCCAACTCAAGTTTCCCCTTCTGAGAAATGGGAATAGCCAGCTCCTTGAAACACTGGCTCCCAAGAGGCCAGCACAAGGCCAGATGAGGTGGTTGGGGCTTACCCTCTCTTGGCTGCCACCCCACTCTCAGGTTTTGGACAGCCTTCATTCTGGCCTCTCTAGGCCAGAGATGGCCCTTTGTTAAGTATGACACAAAGAATTATTCCTCTCCTCCCCACAGATTAGCCAACAAAACAGGTGTCTGCTTTTTGTCTGGCTACCTGCCCAGAGGCATGGGCTGGACAAGCACTATGCAGAGGGCTGACCGGGGTGATTGGGAGGTGAAATGAGAAAAAGGATTTGGGGTGGCACTCTAAAAGGGGCAGCCTTTCTCATCACCTGGAGACCTGGCACAGGCATCCGCCAGGGGAGAAGAGGCCTAATAGTGAATGTGTACAAGGAAGATGGGGGCTCCTGAATGCTCTCGAATGTGAAGGAGACACCCTTTTGCTGAGCTAGCCACTCTCTAGGAAACCTGCCAGGTACCCAGCCAGCCTGCGATGGAGGGGCAGTGCCCCCTCCTCCCTCTTGTCATTTTGTCATTTTTTGCTTTTGTGGCCCCAGACCCTAGAAGATCCTTTCCTTTTTCTTCCTTCATCTACCCATCTCCATCAGACCCTGTATTTTTTTCTCCTCTTCCTGCCCCTGCTGGCCAGGCTTAAATCTAGGCCACCAACTTCCCTGGTACATACCTATTCCCCTAACTAAACCTCCCCACCCCTAAGAAACAAAAAAGGATTTCACAAGACTCTGCATTGTGACCCAAAGAGGCATGTACCATAATTACAGGCAGGCGGGGAAGCTCGCCTCACCTGCTCTGAGCACATGTGTCTGGATCTGAAACCATCTGAGTGAACACCCCAACCCCCACACCAGAAAAATATGGCCAACGCTGGCGCCAAATGCCAGGTGATTGGGTAAGCCTCCTAATCCCAGATCCTCTGGCAGAGCCCAGGATTTCCCAAATCCCTGGCAGGCTTGGAGACATCAGTTGTAGTGCACTAGAAAGTAAGAATCTGGCAATGAATGGGGGAGCTGGAATGGTGTGAGGAGGAATTTATGGGCTGAGCTTGAGTGGAAGGAACAGGCAGGCAGTCACCAAACTTGAAAAGTCCCTCTGCCCAGGAGTTTCTTCCCTACCCCAGGTGTCACACAGGCAGGGCTCTCACCATTTTGAATGCATTCATTCCTTTGGAGTAAGTATCAATGAATCCTCTTTCAAAATCCACTCCTAGGTGTGTCTCTCCAAAAGAAATTAAAGAAATTAAAATATAAGTCAATGTTCACAGCAGCATTATTCATAATAGACGAAAAACAGAAACTACCCATATGTCCATGAACACTTATCCCCGACAAGCATATGTGATAATATATCCACACAACAGAATATCATTGAGGTTTAAAAAGGAATGATGTACAGGGGTATCTGGGTGGCTCAGTCGCTTAAGCATCTGCCTTCAGCTCAGGTCATGATACCAGACTTGGGAACAAGCCCCATGTCAGTCAGTCCTACTCCCTGCTCAGCAGATAGCCTGCTTATACCTCTCCCTCTGCCCCTGCCCCTCCCCCTCCACTTGTGCTCTCTTGTTCTCTCTCAAATAAAATCTTAAAAAAAAAACCAAATAAAATAAAATAGAATGAAATCCCAATTCATGTTACAACATGGATCAACCATAAGGACATCATGCTAATTGAAAGAAGCCAGTCACAAAGGATCACATATTAAATGATTACATTTACATAAAATACCTAGAACAGGAAATCTCAGAGAAAGAAACCAGTAGTTGCCTAGGGCTGGGGTGGGGGGGAGCAGTTAAGAGAAAATGGGGAGTGACTGATAATGGATCAGGATTTCTTTACAGCTAGACAAAATGTTCTACAATTGATTGTGTTGATGACTACACAACTCAGTGACGACACTAAAAGCCACTGAATTACACATTTTAAATGGGTAAATTTGTGCAGTCTATGAATTATAGCTCATTAAAGTAGTTACAGAAAAATTAGGCCCAGAGTAATCCTTCAATAAATCATAGCTTTAGTTAAGAAAAATTTGGGGGGCACCTGGGTGGCTCAGTCGTTAAGCGTCTGCCTTCGGCTCAGGTCATGATCCCAGCGTCCTGGGATGCAGCCCTACAACTGGCTCCCTGCTGGGGGGGGAGGGGACCTGCTTTCCCTCTCCCACTTCCCCTGCTCATGTTCCTGCATTCGCTATCTCTCTCTCACTGTCAAATAAATAAATAAAATCTTAAAAAAAAATTTTTTTTAATTTTTCAAAAGATTTTATTTATTTGTGAAGGAGAGCATGAGTGAGGGGCAGGCAGGGAAAGGGAGAAGAAGGCTCCCTAGCAGGGAGTCCAATGTGGGGCTCAATCCCAGGACCTAGGGATGATGACCTGAGCAGAAGGCAGGCACTTAAATGACTGAGCCACCCAGGCACCACCTTCCCCCGCAAAATTTTAAAGGAATGGAACTCAGGAAAGACTTGATATTAAACTAATTCAGCTTCTGAGATCCTAAAGGAATAACACCTATTCCAGGGTAAAGACAAAGGTTCAGGCTGTAGCTGATGAAAAAATTCCAAATCCACCCAGGTGTTGTTTAGAGAAACTCTCTGGCCAAGACTGAGCAAGACAAAAAAAATTAGAGAGGCGCCTGAGTAGCCCAGTTGGTTAAGCAACTGCCTTCGGCTCAGGTCATGATCCTGGAGTCCCAAGATGGAGTCCTGCGGACTACCTGCTCACCAGGGAGTCTGCTTCTCCCTCTGACCTCTCCCCTCTCATGTTCTCTCTTTCATTCTCTCTCTTTCTCTCTCAAATAAATAAATAAAATCTTTCTTTAAAATTAGAGATGAATAAAGTGTAAATATTCTGAGGAAGGGTAATGTTGATAGATTATTTAAAGGCAATCACCTTACCAAAGAGTCCAGAGCATCATGGGACATCAGCTACTTCGGCCATGAGTCAGAAAAAGGAGGAAGAGAAAAGGGGCCTAGAGCAGGATACCAAAATATGATCCCTGACCAGCACTCCTCCAAGACCCATCCTGGCTGAGCTGGTGCTGGCAAAGGTTACTCTAGGCCGACTACGGACCCCATCTCCTCCTCGAGACCCTCCACAGGCAGAGGCAAGGGGAAAGGAACAGAGAAGCATAAATGTGAACATAATGGAAAGAAGCACACCTCGACCAGACCAGAGAGTTCCCAGACTCTTCCTCCACCCCTTGGGCAGGGTTCTCACGAGAGGCTGAAACAGTCTCATCTAAGCCAGTAGGCAGAGCAAACAGAAAATAACAGCTAGCACCTGAGCACTTACCATGGTCCAGGCCTGGGGCTTAATGTTTCACATACATTTTTTTTTTTTAAGATTTTATGTTTTTATTGACAGAGATCACAAGTAGGTAGAGAGGCAGGCAGGGGTTGGAGGTGGGGGGGATCCAGGACTCTATCCCAGGACCCTGGGATCACGACCTGAGCCGAAGGCAGAGGCTTTAACCCACTGAGCCACCCAGGCGCCCCTTCACATACATTATTTTATTTAATACTCACAACAACCTTAGAAGGGTGCAATTAATATCCCTGTTTTACAGATGAGGAAACTGAGATGGAAAAGATTAAGTAATTTACTGAAATGATCTTGGGCAAAGCCAACTTCAAAGCCCTGACTACAACCCCACTGTAGAGTCAGAGGCCCAGGACCAGGCTCTTAACCACAATGCTATTAACAGAAATCAGAGTTTAGCCCTGTAATGTGATGTAAATACACTGGGAGGATGGGAGAAGGGAAATAGAGTATGTAAGGGGTGGGAGTATAAACTTTCCTGTAATTCCTACAGCAGGAAGTCAATAGTTGTCTGAAACTGATGAAGTCAAGAAGAATCACTCTAAGCATATTATTTAGAAACATGGGGGTAACACCCGACAAAAGTGCCAAAAGTTGAAAGTGGTCTCTCCCATGGGGCAGGGATTGGGGTAGGAAACTTCTTGCTACTTTCTCTTAAAAAGTCTTTTGACAATATTAGTCTTTTTAAAAATCATGCACATATATTTGATTAAGAAATGATTTATAAAGAAAAAAGAGGGGCACCTGGGTAGCTCAGTTGGTTAAGTGTCTGACTTCAGCACAAGTCATGATCTCAGGCTCTTGGGATCGAGCCCCACGTTGGGCCCCACGCTCACCACGGAGCCAGCTTCTCCCTCTGCCCTCCCCACTTGCTCAGCCTCGAGTGCTCTCTCTCTCACATAAATAAAATCTTTAAGAAAGAAAGAGAGAAAGGAAGGAAGGAAGGTAAAACGAGAGAGGGGTGCCTGGGTGGCTCAGTCAATTAAGCATCTGACTTCGTCTCAGGTTATGCTCTCAGGGTCCTGGGATTGAGCCCCATGTTGGGCTCTGCACTAAGCACGGAGTCTGCTTGAGATTCTCTCTCCCTTTACCTCTGCCTCCACTCGCTCATGCTCTCTCTCTCTCAAAATAAATAAATAAAATCTAAGGAAGGAAGGAAAGGAGGAGTGCCTGTGCCTGGCTGGCTCAGCAGGTGGAACATGCAACTCTTGATCTCAGGGTCAACGAGTTCAAGCCCACGTTAGATACAATGTGGAGCCTACTTAATTAAAAAAAAAATTTTTTTTTTAAGAAAAAGAAAGAAACAGATCATTCAAACTGAAGTCTAACATAGTAAACTTCTGTTGCTTTTACCACACAGCTTCCATCTTCCTCTACCAGTAACAGCACTTGGGTTTTGCTTTGCACACTCTCCCTCCTTTACAGGAGAATCTGGTGGGCCTGTCCATCAGGGAACACCGTATTGCCCTGGCCAAGGGGGGGTGAGGGGCCCATGAAACCCTCTCCTTAGAATCTTGGACAGAATGGCAAAAACACCGGGAACCAATTCGCCCAGATGTAGAAACCCTCCATTAGTCCCTTCCACTTAGCCAGATCCAAGACCCTCCAAGTACAGCTGACACAATGTTCCATTAGTCTCAGGAGTACCACTTAATGCCTTGACAACTCTGTGGTTATGCTATGCTCACCAAAAGTGTAACTACCATCTGTCACCACACACTGCTATTATAGCAACAATGAAAAACAGGGAAGGCTTCACAACTCTGAGTGTCACCCTGGCACAGGGGCCATGCCAATCTTCTCCGTATCCATTCAATTTTAGTACATGTGTTGCCAATGCAAACAGCCTTGGTCCACACTTTTTAAGCTTTCCCTTAAATTCTGATTGCCCATTTCCTTCTAATAAATTCCTCTTCTGCTTAAGTTAGCTAGAGTCCCTCTATGCTGCTTATAACCAAAGGAACTTAATGGAATGTCTAATAAAAATGTTTGAGGTTACTTTGTGCTTCCATCTGTCAGTATAATTTACTACAGTAGTTTGCAGACTCCTCTGACCTAAAAGATTTACCTCAAGATCTAATAAGCGCACACACGCACACACACATATACTATGTATATACATATTTAACTGAAACCACATCTTTGCTAAAAATGTCCACCCTAACACTCTGATAGTGCTAATTCTATTTCTTTTGTTTTGAAGACTTTATTTTGTTTAGAGCAGTTTTAGATTTACAACAAAATCTACAGGAAGGTACAGAGATTCCTCATATACTCCCTACCCCAACACAGGCATAGCTTCCTCCATTACCTACCTCACTCACTAGAATGGCACATTTGTTACCAAGAATGAACCTACACTGATACATCTTAATCACCCAAAGCCCCTGGATCCCCTTAGAGTTCACTCAAGTAAAGTAAATAATGTACATTTTGTGGGTTAGGGAAAAAAAAAAATCCTCTGTGCTCTATTTCTTTCCCCTCTACCCTCAAAACTCCTGGCAGCCATTGATCTCTTTGTTGTCCCCCCAGTTTTGCCTAGTCCAAAATGCCATGTAATCAGAATCCATTTCTTTTCTAATACTAGGGCTCGAACCACTAAGTTGACTTCAGACCCGCTGTAGTCATGATCTGCAGTATGAAAAACATTGGCTCACCCTACCTGCTGCATCTGCCTCTAACAATAAAAATAAACCAAAGAGGTATTAGCTGTATTTCCACGTCCAAGTGTGATGCACCAACGCACTCAGCCTGCCTGGTAGGGAAACACCAACAGAGTCCCAGGATCCTCACTAGGATGCAGGAGCGGGTTAAATTGTCTATACCCCGGACACCAAGGAGGAACATCTGTTCACTTGCATATTCATTCACTCACTTTGAGCATGCACTGAGCACTCACTCGGTGGTGTGAATATTCTACAGCTTCCTGGGGACTGTCCAGAGCCATAAAGTCAATCTTCAGGCTGGCTCAGAGGAGAGGAATCCAGGGACAAATCCTATCTCCTGACTGATTGATTGTTTTCCATTTCCTCCCCGCTCCTGAACAGCTCAGGAATGTCTCCAAGAACAGATTCCAGCAATGCTTATTTCATTCACAGGTTTGAAGTAAAATACCTCTAAAGTCTAGCCTATGAAGAAGGAATAAAAGGAATTTCTATTTCCCATTGTTCTAGAGATCTCTGATTAGGTTTAAACTAATCCATGGCTGTATACTGACTGAATTCCTTGCTCACTATTCTACGGACTCTTTCTCCCTCACAAGGCAAGCAACAAAATATCAAGGGACAGAAGAGTGTGTCAAATCATTCTCAACAGTACCAATACATTGGTCTTAAGATCTTTCCGGATCTCTTTTTTACAGCAAACAAAAAGAAGCCCAACACCCCTCTCCTTTATTTTCCTCATACCCTTTTCCCTGCCTCAATCATTCCAAGACAGTGAGTAAGAGCACATAGTAGGTCTTAGGGCTGACATAATAGAGGATGGATTTCTTTATTATCTTCAGAGTTGCACTGCTGGGGGAGTGGAGGGTTGGGCAGTAGCAAGACCTGTAATGTGGGCAGAAAGACTCACAGAGGGCGCCTGGGTGGCTCAGTGGGTTAAGCCTCTGCCTTCCGCTCAGGTCATGATCTCAGGGTCCTGGGATCAAGCCCTGCATTGGGCTCTGCTCAGCAGGGAGCCTGCTTCCTCTTCTCTCTCTGCCTGCCTCTCTGCCTACTTGTGATCTTTCTCTCTGTCAAATAAATAAATAAAATCTTAAAAAGAAAGAAAGAAAGACTCACAGACCAGACAGAAATGGAGAAGGGACTGTGAACAAATTAAGTGCTTATCTGTACCCTAAACTTGAAATGAGAAACGATTCTACGAGTTATTTTGAGTAATTTTGAAGAGCCATAATCCAGGTGCAGCTGGCTTAGCTCCCCCAGGGAACATGCTGAGACTGGAACCCAGAAAGGGAATCAGATACAGAGTGGAGGGAGGGGAAATGGAGGGATACAAACTCCCCATCATCTTGACTCCCATTTCACTCTCATCCACAACAGCTTGAAAATCCATGAAACAGTAAACACCCTTTCTGGGTCAAGTTCCCTAGCAAAGCCTAGAAACATTCAGCCACAAGTTACTTTCCTCTGCCTCTGGAGAGAAAAAATCATATGGTCGGTCACCTGCGGTGGGGAGAACAAGGACAGGGGGCCAGGGAGTGAGGGAAAGAGAGCAGATGTATTAGCGCTGGAGAACGCCCCTATCTCCCCCAACCTCACTTCGTCCGGAAGCTCTCGCGTGGGTCACTTCCTTCCCTTTCCAGCCTAGGTTCTGGCATCTCCTTTATCCACTTGCCCAGCGCTTGGTAGCTGGACCCGGAAACGAAGGGAAGAAACCGTCCCAGGAAGCTACCGGCTGGCCGATGGGGGAAGGGGAGGCAGGAGGACTGCAAGGGGAAGAAGAAATCCGAGCAGAGAGCCCTATCCCTCCCAGCGAAAGGTGGATTTCCTGGCCAATGTCGACGTACCTAGAGTCCTACCGCCCCACCGTTTGGTCCAAGCCCTGGGATTTGACTCTCTACCCTGTCTTCTTACCGATCACCCAGAGCACCATTAAGTTATCTGAAGGGCCTCTGAGAACACCAGGACCCACAGAAAAGGCTAATCTCCCCCCGTCGGGGACTCAAAGTACCAAGAGCGCAAAGACCCCGTTCCAGGAGCTCGTTTCTCCCACGACGCAATCTACTGCCCACAGGACGCCAGAGTAGCGCGCACCGGATATTCGCGGGGGTCCCGGGCAGAAGACGCAGTGTCCTTCCAGAGGGCAGGGACCGCCCGAGTCCCGGAACAGCCTTCCTGCCGCGACTCCCCAAGACCCCCGCTGCCAGCCACGCGGCGGTAGAAAAAGAGAAAGAGAAGTGCGGCGAGGAGCCCGCGGCACCCACCCGGCCCCAAGCCGGCCCCAGGTGATGTCAGCGAACTCGGAGCGGGGAACGGGAGGGACCGAACGGGAAACCGAGAATACCGGGCGGGGGAGGCGGGGGGCCACTCTCTCTTACCGCGGCCTGACCCTCCGGGTGCACGTCCACCAAGGTACACCAGTTCTGTGTCCCGTTCATCTTATTTCCGCGGGGGTCGCAGCGCGGAGGACTAACCTCCGCCCTATCTGCCTGCGCCTACTAGGCAGGCGGGCGCGGAACCGCCCCCTTGTTATAGGCGCGTCGGGGGGCGGTGACTGCCGATTGAACACGCCCCAAAGATTCCGTTCGCCAATGTGGGCGAAAGAGCAGGATGGGCGTGACCGAGAACCATCAGGACACGCCCATCTGCGCTAGCTCAGATTTACCTAAAGGTGGGGCTCGGAGGCTATCTGAGGCTGCTTAACCCAAATTTTGTCCAGTGTGTGTTGTACCGTCTCAAACATTCTTCGTTAATCTTGCTGTTGTTCCCTTTTCAACTCCAAGGTCAGTATTGGTGGAAGAGAATCACCCTACCTGCCCCTTAGAGGATGAGTTGGAAAAAAGCTTCCATACGTTCTCCTCTCCCTATGTAGGCCACCTTTGTGGAACTGAGCATGGTAGAAATGCAGGCACCAGAAGCCAACTCACTCAGACTGGCCTAAGCCAGTCTGGCAGGTGCCCTGCCCTGGCAGGAAACAGGCCAAAGTCAAAGCCAGCTTGGATCTGGGTGGGGCTTGTTTTGTAGAAACTATTATACCAAAGCTGCCCTTATATGGTTGGGAGAGGCGGGACACGTTGCCTTAAAAGGATTTTGTATTCTTGAGGAAAGATGAGCCTCAACTTCTCCAATGGCATCTGCTCCCCAAACCCAGATTACCATTTTAAGGGCCCTCAGGAGAGGATCACCCAAGGATGGAGTCTCTAACAGCCTGGCTTTTCGCCACAAGTTGGGGACTCCATGGGGCTGTGATCCACCTGGAAAGCAGGCAGGAGGTCTGGCCCACTCTTGAGTGGGCAGTGTCCCTGAATCTGACAATGGCTCTGATGAACAGCGAGCTCCCTCATCAAGGCAACACAAGAGCAGGAATGACAGGGGTGCCTGGGTGGCTCAGTGGGTTAAAGCCTCTGCCTTTGGATCAGGTCATGATCCCAGGGTCCTGGGATCGAGCCCCACATTGGGCTCTCTGCTCCGCAGGGAGCCTGCTTCCTCCTCTCTCTGCCTACTTGTGATCTCTGTCAAATAAATAAATAAAATCTTTAAAAAAAAAAAAAAAAAAGAGCAGGAATGACAGAAATTTTTCTACTTCCCCAGGTAGGGACTGGGTCCCATACCAGATGGGAATGAAATGTCTTTGTACATGGGAGGTGAATGCTGGGGACATCCCTGTGCCCCAAAGGAATAAAACCCAGTTCTGGTCTGTCTCCTTTAACCCTCAGATACAGCATTTACTGGCCTTTCTATTCCCAGAAGGTTGTTTAGGAGAGAATGCAGGTGCTATAAACACTTAACGTCGTTCCCCAGGGTCCATCTAATCTGCTGTAAAGAGCCTCTAAAAAGTGAGATAAAGAAAACCCCAGCTTCAGCCTCTAAGTTCTCTAGTTAAAATGGTTTCTGCATAAAACAGACCTCCAAATAAGCCAGGAAAAAGAATGAGTAGTCAAGGATTTCAGTATAGATATATAATTTTAATGTTTAGTTTAAAATAAAATCAAGGCTGGGTTGGTTTGGGAGAAAATCTCTAACTTGCAGAATAGAAGATTTAAAAAAAAAATCATGAAATTACAAGTCATTGGTGAAAACAGCTTTCTTCTTCCCCTAGGCTCCTTACAGAACCTGCTCAGGAAATAAGCAGGTTTACCTCCTCCCTACCAGGGCTTGGCTCTTCCCAAAACCCAAGAGGGGAATAAATCTTCCACTGCCTCTACCCATTTCTACAAAGAGTCCATCTTTAGCCCTAGGCAGGAAGCCCTGTGTCAGGTCCAAGCTCCTGAGATAATGAGGATCCCCTGATTCCCTACTGAGGTTGGGCACATCTGGGTCAGAGAAGCCACGAGAAAGACCTCTGCTTTTCAAACTCATGCAGACAGTTATCAGGGTTCCCAGATGCAAGCCCCTTACAAACACATCCATAGTCACAGAAAGACAGGAGGAAACATGGAAACCCTGAGCAGAACCAAGCCCCACAACCTTATCACAGTCCTACCAAAATCCCTCCCTCAAGGGCTCATCAGTAAATGAGCCAATAACTCTCTAGACTGGGGCAGCCGGGGAAGCTGAGGGCCCTGGTGGGGGAAAGGTTGGTCCTTGGAGAGGTATGAATGTGCAGGTATAGAAGGCAAGAAGAACATCCTTATTTCCTCACCCTGTCTAAGGCACCAAAAGGAAAGGAAGGTAGGATGATGAAGACAGGAAGGGGAGAACAGATCCCTTGGATCCACTGGCTTGAGGAAGACAAAACATAAAGGAGTGGAGAGGGGTGGGGACTACCATATGGGTCCCACGACTGTGCAAAGAGGAGCATCCACGAGCTGGATAGAGCCACCCCAGTGTGTCTATTATCCATAATGTTCCCTTCACCCTGCTCCAGAGTGGGAGGAAAACATACTGCAGGAGTCATGGGAGCAAAAATCACAAAGGTATTTCCCTGAGCCTGAGGGTTAAGGGCTAAAGAAATAAAGCTTTATATACATGGCAATGTCTATCCCTTCCTAACATGCTCAATCCCCCTCAGCCTCTATGGTGACCATCCTATTGCTGTGAGGGAAGAAAAAGACTTAAGGGAAGGGCTCAGTTGGCCTAAAATACCCACTCCTCCAGAGGAAAGGGAAAGCCTGTTCACTGGCTTAGTGCCAATGCCTTTTTTATCACCATCACACATACCCTTCCCGTTCTTAGGGCTTAATAATTGGGTTCCCCCTCCAGGAATGAGGAATTCGAGGCTTGGCAGGGCAGTGCAGGCCTGGCCAGGGCAGGCTGCAAGTGTGGCCTCTGGTCCCTCATGGACCCAAGCTAACAAGAGCTGGTCTGGAGGTTGCTTTCCGTAAGCAGTGATGCAATGGAAGAAGGGTCATAGACGCTGTCATATTCCTCATCTGAGCTCAGCCCTTCATGCTGGGTTGACTCAGCAGCTGAGCGGGAAGCTTTGCGCCTAAGAGAGAGGAATACTTGTAAGGGAGGGAGACAGACTGAGACAACTATGCTTTTCATGCTAAGGAAACTCCCAGCTTTTCTAAGGCCTCAAAGTACAAGCTCCCCCACCTATGTGAGATCTGGGGAGATGGGGTATATATAGACAGTGGGCTGAGCTAAAGAATAACCATATAGGCTTTCAGCCAGAAAGGAGTGACTGCAGAGGTCCCATCTTAGAGATCCTCCTCCCTATTCAGTTCTCCTGAACCCATTCCCGGGGTTCAGAAGAGGGGGAAAGAAAAGCAGCCCATACCAGGAGTCCTTCTCTAGGGTTTTGATCCGGGCCTGGAGCTGTTCATTGACCTCATGCTGCTCTTCCAGCTCACGCTGGGCCTTCTTCCTCAGGCCATCGAGTCGTTCAATCTCCTCTTCTGCTTCGTCTACCTGCCGCTTCAAAGCCTTCACCCTCAGGCTTAGCTGGGCAGAATACAAAGTCCCCACATTAGAAAAGCATCTGCTGTGACCATGGACTGGGACCCAATTCTGACAAGGAATCGCTGCCCTAGAAAAATGTCGTGACCACAGGCAAGTTCCCTAACTTCACAGGCTTGTTTTGGGGATGAAATGAGCTCACACATGTACAACAGAAGGAGAACCTAGCACATCACAGACACTCAATGCATGTGCTTACTATGATTATTTTAATCCAGGGCCTCCAGTCTAGTCTCCATCCCTACATGAAGCTGGGAAGACCTATGAGATGGGGCCTCCCTTTGCCCTCAAGCAAACACACAGTATATGCTTACCATATGACTTCCTGTCCCTGGTTCCCGTCCTTACCTGGTCCTTCTGGTCATTGACATGCTGCCGCTCATCATCAATTTGGATGGACAGCTCTTTAACCCTCCGTTCCAGTTTTCGGTTGGTAGACTGCAGAACAGTCTTCTCCCTAGGAGGGTATGGTAGGGGGGTGTCTGTGGCTGTAGCCATTTCCAGAGAAAACCCTATTTGGCTCCCTCCAGCCTCCATGAACTCCTCTCAGTCATGTCACACTAGGGAGGATCTAGGGGCAGATCCAAGCAACAGGGGAGATAATA